ATCTGTTGTATTTGAGATAAGTCGATCTCCGTTGCGATGATTCTTAGTTGAGTTTCAGGATCAAAAGGCTGCAATTGGAGTACGGAACCAAAAATCAGAGAGAAAAAGCTATCGAATAAGGGCATCGTGATATTGATTTTGGTCACTTGTTTGAAGAATATCCCTTTATCCAATGTAGTCCAAGAACTATGTTGTAGAAACTCACTAGTATTGATGTCAGCAGGAACAAAGTGAGGTACTGTAAATAGAAAATATTGATCATAAGCCACATACCAATGTTTCTCGACAAGCCAAAATGAAGTACAAAAAGATTCGAGAATTTCTGCGGTCAGTGTATTGAGAATTTTTAACTTGAAGTTCAACATAATGAGATTACTCGCCAAAATTTGCCAACGATTTCCATCGGCTAAATCATCGAGACCAGTGGCATACAATTCAAGATGTGTTAGATGAATTAATTTTAGCAATAATTTCTCAAGCTGATCGATCGAAACTGGTGAATCTGTGAGTTATCAAAGAAAATGCAAGATCGACTGTTAATAAAATATTTCAACTCTTATGTTCATTAAAGCGATTGTACTTACCGTGAATTTTTAGGATGAGTCGTTTCAATTTCAAATGAGATGACAATAATTCGTAATCACTATGTGTTCGATCATCGTGGAGAGAAATATTCAGCGATTGTAAATATGGTGTGTGAGAAAGAATTATTCGAAATTCATCGATTGTTACTTCTCCAATTCTCAAATGGTGCATATATGGAAGTATCTCTCTTGGTAAAACTTTGAAGTCGGGAAGATTTAATCGTCTTAATTTAGATATTTTTTCAATCACACCATTCGATACGTAACTATGTGTTTGATGCATCCAATATGAATAGTTATCAATCTGATTTGAACGATAAGTTTTAACAGTCTTCGAGTCATACGTGAATGAATTTAGTCGTTGAAGATGACGTAAATTGGAAAAGATCGAATTCAAAGAATCGAATTCAATATCAATCAACACTAATGATTGAAGTAGACTAAATTGTTCGATCCGAAAATATGACAAAAATAACGCAGATTGACCTGGTGTATCATCAGCATCGGATAGAATCAATGCAATAACTTTTGAAGGACGAATTCGTTGACAAACAAGATCAAAGTTAGACTTGGAAATTGATTTGAAATTAATTTTATATGATGCATACGCAAGTAAAACACTATCAACATGATCGCTAATATTTGAAAATGAAAAGAAAATTTCATGAGCTAAGAAATAATTGAAAATCATGTGTAGAATTTCGACCGGTAGAAAGTCGAAAAAAGAAGCTTTATTCATCATGACCATAAAATTATCAAATGATAGCATGTGTAATTACCAAAAATGAAACATATTTGTCGCAAAGGAAGTAGTCAACTGTGAGAAAAAAAAACATGAATGACTCATGTTTCTATTTTTTCCTACTTAGGCAGAAACAAAAAAACGCTACGACAATGTTATAATGTGTTTTTTTTTTGAAAGCACAAGAAAAAAAAATCGCTTTATAAGTAGTCTACACAACTTGTTGGGAAAAAAGCGTATTGAAATGTGTTTATATTGATGATAATTGGTTTAAATACATTTAACAATCAAAACTTAGAACTCGATCCATTTAAACATTTAAGAAAGTCTGTTCTAGCGCAGTTATGTGAAAAAAAAATTTTTTTTAATATATTTTGGTCGATAGTTGCAACTCGTTTACGGCACATTTCTTTTGTATACCATTGTATTACATCAGAATGTAAATGGGGATGTGTGTGAATGAGGATTTTCTCTTCATTCACATGCACATTATCCCCAACTAGCTTTGTCTGCAAGAGTAAATGAGACATATGTATCTACCCTTATTTTACTAATATCTGGAAGCACAATCAGCAGTGAAAGATACATATATATAGATAATATTGTTGTAAGCTTCAACAGATGGAACTTTAGGACACTTTACTCTTTATAGATTTTTTTATTGGTTTTTCTCTTCTTCTTTGATATCCTTCTTTTATCTTTCCATGATTGACGTCGTCTCATATCTTGTTGTTGTTGATCTCTTAGACTTTGTTTAACACCGATTTTATTTCATTATTATATAATATTGTTATTATTAATGGAGAGGTTGAGCAAAACTGTCGTCTGCATATATTTTATTGTGCTCGATTTCTTTTTTCACATTGATGTACTAATTAAATGAAGAACAATAATAGTAATTTTTTATTCAAGTATCTTCATCACTTCATTCATTAAAATCAACAAACCATATGTGATCCATGAATTTTAATATTCACAAAAAATCTAGAAGGTATTCTAGCTATTTATATTAAAAGTGATCGTCGTGAGTCAATACTACATATACTCCACCAATCAAGAAACGTACAAGAACATATTACAATACATGAATATAAGGAAAAACTTATTTCAGAAAATAATAAATATGTATCCAATAATAAAATGAATTCACAAATAGAAATTAATACGATTTCAAATAATTCTGAGACTGATTCACATAAATTTGTTGATAGAATTGATCATTGCAATAAATCGAATAATGTCAACAGTTGCATCATAGATAAACCTGAATTCTGAATCATTCAACATAGTTGATGAATTAACTCATCATATTACAAGTTTCAATGTTGTAGACAAAGGATGCGGGTCTAAGTCTTGTTACAACTCATACTCAATACGCTACTGTGAACAAAGGATTTGAAGAATTTCTTGATTTCATATGTCCGAGTTATGAACGCTTTTAAAACATAGCTGCTTTTCCTAGAATAATGCACCGCACAAGAATATTTCTGTATGATGAAAATATCCACGGCGAAAACTACAAGTTAGCTTCACTCAATTCACAATATACGATACGCTGAATTCCTGTCAAATAATGAATATGATGCTTTTTCGGCGTTCAAAACATTGGATGACTATTTCAAAAGTTTAGAACAAAGAATTCTCGGATTCTCTCTCTCGATTTATCTCAGTTTTTTTCCTAATCTAATTTCTTCAAATTAGTTGAAAATCAGTTTCGAATGATAACCAACTTAGAGTTATGCATTAATTTTAAAAATTCGTTAAAATTGTTAATGATGAATTATTGAAATGGTAAAAACCAGAAAACTGCTGTTTGAGAGCATAAAATTTTTTTCAGAGAATAGATAATTTCTTTCTAAAAGAATCTTTACCTATGAAGAGATCTTCTTTCTGATCAAGCAAATAGTCCAACTTTCTCATTGAAAATTAAAAAATTTATTATTAATATTCGTTCCACGGTGAAACTCATAAAATGTTGCGTCTACTATGAATTTAATCAACAATTTTCAAGTAAAACACATCGATCAAGAGACACTGTTCTAATAAGAATATATTATCTGTTAAGATTCAGCATTTTCGTTAAAATTTCCCATAGTAAAGAAGCTAGTAAAGATGTGTGAAGTAAAGCTTTGAAGCTTATAAAGAGATACATCTTAATTTTAGACTTATGCATTACTCGTATTGATCAGTTAGCTATAATAAAGATTTTTATCCATACAACAATTGAAAAGGAAATAAGTGAAATTGTAACTCTTGAAATTTGGTTTAAATCAATTTTCAACAAAAAACTTGCAAAGCACATACTTTTGCACTTTTCCATATTACTCAGATATTCTCATTCTGCATCTATAAATATGAACGTTGCATATAAGAAACACAATTTCCAAGTTTGAGAGAAAAGTATAGGAGATCATGATCAACTTTTATTCTGAAAGATATTTGCCAAACTAAAAATAATTTTATGCATCTATGAAAAGCATAGTAGTTACATGTAAATGCCAAAATGTTAGCTGTATATACAAGCATTAGTATGTAAGCAGTCTTACGCTGACAAGAAAAATCTGACTCTTTTGTAATTCACATACTGATTTTGGCGAAAATTCAGCTTACTCTTCAATATGTATCAAAATTTAAGAAAAACCTAAGGATATTTTGGGTACGGATGTAACTGTATCATCTCTTCTGTTCATTGGAATTTCTTGCCTAAATTAGCACCAGATTGGACAATAAGTAGTTCGGATGTTTGTTCTTGGTGGATGTGGGTACCAATGTGGATACAGAATATGCCTACACCCACACCCGTACATAGTATAAACAGAAATATGATTGATAGAATTCATAACTGATCGGAGTTCATTTACAAAGTATTTAAATATTGATTTTAATTGGTCCATCCTGTTCTTGATTGAGACAATAAATGCTGGATACTTGAAAATTCTGTTGGTAGAGAGAGCGAGATGAAACGATAACTTGATGATGAGAACATGTTGAAGCAGATCCTGGAGTATTGATACATTGGATTGTGTTTTCACATTGTATGCATTCTGCTTCTCCATTCGAGATCAAATTATTCTGACAACGATGCATGTCTCGTTCAGACAAAACACGATGAAACAATGTCGAAACAGTGACACATGGTTTGTATAATGGTGATACATCTCTTGCTAGTGATGCCTTTGAATACGATTTATTTTGTATGTAAAATCAATAGTTGAAAACATGACAACGAAGAATAACTTTATATCAGTATGGACATGAATATTAAAAGCCTATTTTGTTCTTAATTATCTTTCTAAGAGTAATGTCTGCTAACAAGGGAAAGAAGTTCTTGATCATTTGTGTCAACAACCCATTTTTTATCCATATTTTTATGTCTAGAGATTGTCTCCTCAATGTAGAATATCAGTGGATATAGATATTTCGTTCGATGGTCTCATCATCCAAAAGTTGCCCTTAAAAGTAAATATCTTACGTTATGATGACTGATTTTCGCAATAGTATAGTTGATGTTTTTCCTTGCTCCTCTTTTCACATATTCTTTTTCATATGTTATCATTCTTCGTCTCTTATGCTTGCTCAACGAAGCCTCTGATTCACTGCACGTTGTCTCTTTCTCTTTCATATTTTTATCAACATCATCAAATTCTAATCTTTCTTTTAATAAAAACAAAAACATGCTCTTATCCTGCACTTGTTTTCCGTTCACTCTTCTCTGCATTGTTGCATTGCTTAGTTTGAGCCTAGCTACGAAACAAAAAATTTATTATGGCGAAGCTGAGCTCATTCGTCAACTGCTCACTAATACCTCTGAATGGACTTATGTCCAAAAGAATGCTGATGGTTTTTATGTGAACTTTATTGAAATGGACGTCATCTTAAGTCCCGATGATTTACATGGCTTTTTCAAGCTTTTCACAAACAAATTTGTCTACTATGAAAGTGATGCTGATCCACATCATCAGCCGTTGGATAAAGACAAAGCATCCATAGAAACATTTCACAACGTCGGTTGGAATATCATTTATACCAGTCAAAATTATGGTTGGACCGAAGAACGTGATGAAATTTTAGGTTATTACAATCTGACAGAACATGTCCTTCGTCGACCAGATTTCGTTCAACTTGGCCCATGGACTCTATCTGGCAATATTTCTAATGATCCTGGGATAGGACCATACTCGAATGCACAGTACCGAGCATGGATAAATCAGTCCGATGGAGTCTCGACAGATGGACCGCTGGGCTACTGGCAAATTGATTTTCAACAAATGCGTGAAGGCAGTTATTCGGTTGTTCAATATGCTCACAGTATCAGCAAGTTGGCAGCCGTAATGCTGTGTCCGTATGGTGCCGGCGTTGTCACATATAATTCGACCAGAGATTATGTCACTGTGGGTATTTCTGCCATTCATGGACACGAAGACAATGATGCCGATCCAGATATTTGGATCATATTTGAGTACGCCGATAATGTTATTCCAGCTGTTCCCGAACAAATAAGTGGCTATCCAGCCAACTCAACGACTGGCATGGCTTTCTATGCACTGAAACATCGCGATGGAGAAGCTGAAACACTTGATTTGTACATAGATGAAGGAAAAATTGGACAATTTGCTTACGTGACACAATCGACGAAACCCGATATGATTTTAAACTCAAACGGAGCAGCCGGAACGACTCTGAATTACACGCTTCATGTGGCTGATTATAGTTCCTGGCTAGATTATGCTGCTTGCATTCGAGTTCGAATTTCAACTGACCAACAAGATGGATGGCACATACGGTACTCAATTGGTGAAGTAGATATTACAGAAACTATCACCAGTGTTGATGGATTTATCTTCGTTAGAGAGAACCGTGTTCGACCCAATACAGTGCAGAGTATCAACGTCTCGTTTACTCAGACATCTATGGTGCATCACAGTATGACATTAACAATCGAATTGGCTGCACATCGTGGTAGCACTGTAGTAGATTCACTTCGAATTATGGCATGATCAACTCGAGGATGTGGGTGCCTTTGCTTTCGCTGATATTCACACTCACGTCCACACGACACACTCGCATCAGTACCCACAGCCAAAAACATATCCATACTCACACCCACATTCAAAATTAAACAATAAAATACATTGTAGGTCGCTCGTTCTTGAAAAAAATTTTCGGAGTTTTTCGAAGTTTTCCAGAATTGGAATCGGGATCAGAGAATAAAAATTATCGGAGTCGGAGTCCGGCTTCGGAAAAAAAAACGGACTCAGCAGGTCTTTAACGCTGACACCTACATCTACACATGCCCATGCCCACATCCTCAGGTAGATGTCATATGAATGATTGTACTGCTGAAATACTGTGCTAATGCAACATCTACTATAACTAAACGGCATACATCAAATTTTTTTCTCGTCCTTCACTTCTTGTCCAACTTTCTAAGTTACACGCAGCACTATGAGTCAGCTGCATCCTAGTCATTTGCATTAGAACTGAGTAAGTGGTTTGTTCTAATTATAAAAATGTACGCATTATCACGTCCTTTCTTCGTAAAGCATATGTCCGAAAACTTGTTTCGCGCCGATAAAGTATCAGCATTCATGTCAAGCAATATCATTTCATGTCTTCAAACATTACCAGTTAAACTGCTACACTGCATCTTTGACAGTCTTGATGCACAGACAATTCTATTCTGACTTCGACAAGTATGTCGACTGTTTTAGATCTATTGTCAACAGTTACAATCAATATCATCTCAACCTTAAATCAATCTCACAATAGAGGTTTCATCTTTTTTATCAAATGATTGATCCTAGAAATGTCATTTCACTTACACTAGCTGGTGATGATCGAACACCTTGTCAAGTCGATTTGTTTCTTTCACTCGTTCAGATCCGACAGTTCACTCGACTTCGGTCGCTTACTCTTATAAAAATCGATGAGTATCATATGAACATCATTTTGAAGTGTATTCACGTCTTTCTATTCAAATCGCTTTCATTGAGTATTAAAGAATATGATAATAGGCACAGAAAAACAACTGTACGACGTCTCTCGCTCGTTTTCACTCGACTTCAGCTTCGAAGACTAGACTTCGCTATAAAAAAATATCGACTAGTTGACACAGTATGGCCCACTAATTGTACAATTCGATATTTCACAATAAGTGGAATTATGGAGTTCGATTATATGTGCGTTATCTTTCAGCGGTCTCCCCATCTTCAAACACTCGTTGCTAGAGATTGCTTCAGAGGCATTCCTAATGATATTATCTCAATATCTTCTGCCATTTTACTCCTGAAGTTAGTCTCACTCACCATTGAAGGTTCGGATATTACTTCTGATCAGCTCAAATCGTTCCTTTCATTCGTTCCTTTGCCTGCATATCTCAAAATAATTGGCGGAAAAATACTTGTTTGACGGGAAACAATGGGAAGAATTTATCTGCTAAAGTCTGCCATTATTGGATAGGTTTGAATTTTGTTATAGCGAACGAAAATCACATAATCAAACATCTGGTGACCTCGAGTTGATAATTACATCATTTAGATCGCCGTTTTGGGTCGAAAACAAAAAAATGGTTTGTCACTTGTGAATACATCACTCATTTTCCTTCTGTAATCTACATTTATTCGATACCGAACTATCAATCGAGCCTACAATATGAATCATATCTAAATAGAGCGTCTCTTTCCACTTCCCATGAGACAACAGAAAGTGATGCGTCAATTACGGGCAATGTGAAAACGATTTATTTATCGATAACGAATAGTTTGGCTGCCGATATTGAACACAGTAAGCGATCAAATGAGCATTAATGTTGTTATCCTTCCACGGTAATAGAAGCATTGTAAGATAATACGAGATAATTAGACCTATTTTGAATAGATCTGTACAATGTAAGGCAGATATTAGTTACAAGTAATTATGAGATATGAGCCTAAAATTGTCGTGCTTTCGTATGAAGAAAATAAAAAATACACAAAACGATTTCGTAGCTCGAATCTCCGAAAATTCACTTTCTAATTATGGCATCATAATTGTATTTAATCCATGAAATCAATTCTCCTTAATCTTAGATAAAGAAACTGATGACATCCGTATAGTCAGTATTGGCATCGAACTGATTCTGACTGTTCAGTATTTCTTTTCTTTCACTGTTATAATCAAACGAACAAAAATAATTGTGTTAAAGTCCACATTTGAATAGTTGTAGATGGTTCTTTGACTTTGTCATGCATTATTCACTTGGACAGTGACATTTTTATACTTTTTATTTGTTCTAATTTGTAGAGAACAAGAACCAATCGTCCTTTGTTTCGCAATATGATTAAGCTTCATCCTGATCTGATCAAGAATTGATTCCTAATGTGTATGTGTTCCATTTCGACTCTTATCGACATTTCGCAGCTCGTGGAAATCAAACTTATTAGTCACTATTTTCACGAATACAATGTTTATACATTGATGGAAATGGCTAGTTTTATTAAACGAGCACACAATCTTTCGTCACTGTTCATTTGTCATGGCTTGTCACCAGACGAGTTTTCTTTATCTACAGGGTGTGGAGATGAAGGCGTGAGTGTAGATGAAGAGATGATTAACATCCCACCCCACCCCACCCCACCCACACCCTCACTCACACCCACAACTGCAGCCATACCCACACCATTTTCGCCGAAAATCAAGTTCACCGATTCCATTATCGACAAATAAATTTTATCACTGAAAACGAATATAAGTTGCACATAATCGATCTTATAGACAACAACTATATTTTGGAGAATTAGTGTGGGTGTGGGTGTGGATTTAAGTGTCAAACTAGAGATCACAAACACTTACACTCACACCCATACACTTTTCAGCTGAACTGTGTTTATGATAGAAGTGACAATACGATACAAAAAAAAAGAAAAGATCGAGAGCAATTGATGGAGTTTACATTTTGTAACTTTAGAGAGACATAATGTTTGAAGGATAGGTTTTTCGAAAAACGTTTCTTGTTACAGCAAACCGACACGTGAGCAAAGTTTTCACATGCTCGTTGACTATGTTTGCAAATATTTCGTGAACCATTCATTTGCTGCCTTTGCCGTGATTTCAAATGGCTCTCCTTTGTAGGCTGAAAAATGATCACCATTGAATTTAACTAGTTTTTTTGGTTCATGAGCTTTTTTCTCGAACAACTCGATTTCATCTTCCGTAAACGTTACTGTATCATTGTCAGCAACAATTATTAATAATGGACATGGCGAAACTTGTTCAATATATTCCTCTGGATTATATTCGCCGTACATTTCTACACTATGTAATGTTTGCTCGTTTTTCCAATTTTTATAACGCCATTTGTCTTCATCCAAGGCTTGATTTACATCAAAAAATTCCCACCAATCTGGCTGTACTGCAGGTCGAACTATTGGTATCTTTCTCGGAGCACCTCCTTCTGCTATTTGCTTTCTATCACGCTCGAAAGCGTTCAATAATTTCTGATATTCCTCATCATTCTTTTGTGTTCGGCGTAAATTCTGTTTTCCATTGATAGATGGCATTTGTGAAACAACACATTTGACACGTTTGTCGATTGCGCTGACAACTAACACGTGGCCACCACTATAACTTGTACCCCAAATACCAATACGTTCAGGATCGACCAAGTTTGTCAACGATTGTAAATATGTTATAGCCGAGCTGTAATCTTGAACTTGTTTTTTTGGATCGATTTCTTGTCTTGGTTCCCCCGCACTGTCGCCAAAATTCTGATTATCATAAAGAAGTACAACAAAATTTGATTTCGTAAAATATTCTGCATATAAATCCACAAAGAGTTCTTTCACGCCTCCATAATAAGGTGACATCACAATTCCTGGATAAAGTTTTTGATTTCCAACTTCTCGAATGGGTTCAAACAGCCAACCGTGCAACAAGACACCATTTTCCGTAGGAAATTCAACATCATGACGTGTAAACGAAGTACTCATGCCTCTTAAATTTTTAAAATAAACATAGTGCACATATGGATAAGAGCGCTTATATATCGAAATCGGATAACTTTTGTACAACTTTCACTGTTCTCCTATTCACTAAGAAAATATAAAACCCCGCGAGTGTCCACAGTTCAGTATTCAACGTAATTTCACAGTCCTTCAATTATGGCTAACTATAAAGGGAAACGATTTGAACAAATCAAATTTTGATCTAGCTTCTTTTTAACCATCAATATTTAAATTTTTGGTTTTGTGGTTATTACAATTCTAGTTTGGTCTGAAGCAGAGGTGTGCGGGGCATCGAATTTTGATGCCCCGCCCGACCCGTCCCTCGCCTAGAGCTTTTCACCAAGTCTAAAATAGATTGCCAGACTCGGTCAAAGAAATACGAGCCGTTCTGTCATTTTTCATGCTAATACATTACTCAACGGTTCATTTTCTAGAAGAATCTTCTCTCTTTCACCTCATGTATTTAGAAAAGCAATACAATGCATTATAATCAAAATAGTTTTATAAAAAAAGTCCGGGTCCATATTTTTCTGGTCCAACGGGGTCCAAATGTGAACCCGAACTTTTTTTTTTAAAATTATTTGGACTATAATGCATTGTAGTGCTTTTCTAAATACATGAGGTGAAAGAGAAAAGATTTTTCTAGAAGATGAACGGTTCAGTAATGTATTAGCATGAAAAATGACAAAACGGCTTGTCTTTTGTTTTTGACAGAGTTCGGGAATTGTTTTTGGATCCGGTGAATGGGTCTACCCCCGTCACTCATGAACCCGCCTCGCCCATCCTCGTGCATGATTTTTCTCAGTATCCTCCATTCTCGCTTGGCCCCATTCATCCGCTACACTGTCCAGCCCGACTCGTCGATTTTTCGGCGGGCCTCGTCTCGCTTCTGTGAAACCCAAAAAAACAAACTTCTATTCATCATTTAGTTTGTTTTCAGTGATTTATTCTACATAATTAATTAACATATTACAAAAAAATCTGAGACAAAGTTTATACGTAACTCTTTGAATGAG